TTTAGGGCCTAGGGTTCAGATTTGCCACCGCCTTTGCTGTCCAAACCCTTTGTGTTGTTGCAAATGGGCTGACACACAGGAGGTGCGGATCGGCCCGGCATGACCCCAAAAAAAATATTCGGGCCTATAGTCCCCCTTAAGTAGGTAGAAATATTATAATAAGATCTCCATATACCCCATATTCTATCTACTTAAGGCGACTATAGATTTCATCAGGCAGAAGCACATCAACCAAATAAAGACTAAGTTGAGGAGAGTAGCACACAAACTCATGCCCAGCTGCTACCCAAGTTCTCAAACAAACCCTAAACCCTAAACCCCAAACCCTAAACCCTAAACCTTAAACCCTAAACCCTAAACCCCAAACCCCAAACCCCAAACCCTCAACCCTGAACGAACCGACCCAAGGCAAACTCTCATCTGACCCGGAGCGAACAGACACGTTTTAAGGTTTTAGGGTTTAGGGGTTTAGGGTTTAGGGTTTTAGGGTTTAGGGTTTAGGACCCTGCCCAATCACGCCTGGAAGGGCTCTACATCTTTGCCAGCCTCCTGTTGGCGCTAGAGTTGAGTTACGTTATCATTTCAAGCATGGGTGATTTCCCAAAAATTACAGGTACTTGTTACATTTGGGGGTCCCAATTTTTTGGGCAGCCGTATGCATCTGAACCTCAAGTCCTCTACACTCACCGTGTTGTGTCACTGTGAATAGGAAATGTAGAAGGTTGGCTTCAGGTACTTCCTGCACGTAGGCAGTCCCACTAGCCGGCTCCAAAATTGTCGACGGACAGCCAGCCTGTGTGAAGTTGAAGCCATGCATACGGAAATTGCGGGGTTCTTGGTAAGTTGGGAGGGTTCGGGAGATCCTGAAGCCAGTGCCACGACAATGCTGCACATTGCTCCGCCCAGTGTGTTCTGGGGCGAAGTCCTCCCCCTACCCCTTCTATAATGGAACGCACTAGTGAAACAACAGTCCCTCTCTAAACACTTTGCCGGTGCTCTTAGAATGTGGCCAAACAACTTCAATTGTGCCCTGTGGATGTAGTGTGTGAGGGGTGGCTGTGAGGCTTGTTGTCGTAGTTGCTGGTTAGAAGTGGTTGGCTGTGAGGAGTCCAGGACCTTCGTGTAAAATGTGGCTGGTATGCGGTGCATCTTCCGCAGTGCCTTCGAGTGGAAGGACTCTAGCCTGTGAAGGTCCGCCTGTGTGAGGGCTGCGGACTCCATTCCATAGACCAGCATGGGCACAAAGACCGCGTTGTAGATACGGAGCTTCCAATGTAGAGGGAGCCCTGTGTGCCGTCAAAAATGGTGGAGGGTGTGGAAGTGCTTGCGAGCCTTCGCCAGCCTCTCCGTTACGTCCTTGCGGCACGAGCCATTTCTTGACAACATCACTCCCAAATATTTGGCTTGCTCCACCTCCTTGATCTCCTCTCCTGTGAGGTTTCGCACAGGATTTCTGGAGTAATGGGACTTCAGCAGCAAGCACTTATCCCAATTCAGCGCGAGATTGCTGTGAGCTGCTGTGGTCTCTGTGAGAGCCACTAGTTGCTCTGCTCTCTCGGCTGTGGAGGCAACCAGTGCTGTGTCGTCCGCGTAGGCGAGGTCGTAGAAGTCTGCTGCCCAAATACCCATGGCATCATGCCCCCGTTCTCCAGCAACTGTGAATCCACGTCGTGCAAGGTACGGTGAGAGCGGACATCCTTGCCTGATTCCGGACTTTGCGCATAGTACGTCGCTAGTGTTGCCGGCGGCCTTGACTTTGAGGTGTAGATGCTGCTAATGAGGCAAATCATGGTCTGTGGGACCCCATAGCGCTGCATCGCGACTTCAAGCGCCTCGACACTGACTCGGTCGAAGGCCTGTTTCCAGTCAAGCAGCAAGACGTAGAGGGACGTGTTTGTGCGCTCTGCCCGTTCCAGTAGTCGACGGAGAACGTGTACTGGTTGCGACGTCAACCTCCCGGCCCGGAAGCCGTACTGTGAGGGCCTGAGGCGGTCGTCAATGGCCTTTTCCAACCGTTGCTGGATGATGCGTGCCATGAGTTTGTACGCGGCGCTTAATAGGTTAATTGGACGATAATTGTTGGGGTCTGTGAGGGAGCCCTCGCCCTTGTAGATCTCCACCACTAGCGCCTTCTGCCAGTCTTGTGGGATCTTGCCGGCTGCGAGGGCCTTGTTCAGGATGTCCAGCAAATAGGCGGTTCTCCTCTGTCATCCACTGCCAAGCTTCTGTGGGGAGGTCGTCCATCCCTGCAGCCTTGTTATTGGCTGCCTTCCGTAACGCCGCGATGAGTTCCTCCATCGTGAACAGGTCGGCGTCGACGTCGGCCTGTGGGGCGATGGGGTCTCTGTTTCCGGGGCCCACTGTGAGTTGGCCAGGTGCTCCGCGAAAGTCGCGGCCTGCTTGGACTGGCTGACTGGCTTGCCCTTGGCGTTGTGGATGGATACTGGCCGTTGTTTGTAATCTGAGCGGATGCGCTTGATCCACTTCCATTTCACCCTGGCGTCCATTGTCTGTTCGCTCTCCGCAAGCCGGTCTTTGAGCCACTGGGTTTTGTCCCTACGTGCTTGTTTACGGACCTAATTGTTGAGCCTTGTCTCCTCCTCTGTGTTGGCCGCTTCGCGGGCCTGTGAGCGTTTCTGGATCAGATCCCACGTGTTGTGAGTGATCCATGGTTGTTTGTGGGTATGTGCTCCTCGATTGCGTCTTTGACGGCTCTGTGGAGTGTTTGCCATTGCTTGTCCAGCTGCTCCTGTGTCTGTGTTTCCGCCTGTGGCGGGGGATCTGCGTCCTCCGTGCGGGGTGTGAGCTGCTCGCCCGTGTCTGCGTGTGGGTGGTGGGGTTGCGTGTGAGCGCCTGCCACCATTGCCTCCGCGACTGCCGTGTTGAACGCGAGCTTTGCCTCTGCTGAACTGTGCTGGTGTCCGCTTTGCGGGCTTGGTGCGAAGCGTCGTGCGGATCTTGACCAGGTAGTGGTTGGAGTTGAGCGCTGCCCCCGGTACCGTGGCGACGTCCGTGATCATATTCCTCCATTGGATTGGGGCCACGACATGATCCAATTGGACTAGGTCTCCGGCTGGCCGCCTGTGAGCGTGTCTGTATTGGGGCTGCTTTTCCATCCACGTTTGGGGGATGCACAAATCCTCCTGAAAGATCAACTCAAAGAATCTAACGTGGTTGGACTCCCCTGCTCCGTTGGCCATGAGCTCTTCTTCGTCCGCCATGGTTTTCTCCCACTGCAAATGTGGGCCCGTGGCACCCTGGATGGTTTGGAGCTCATCCAGCAACTGCGCATTGAAGTCTCCAATCACCATGAAAGGTTGACTCCTCTTACGTTGATGTACTTGGTCTGTGAGCTGTTCCCAAAACTCATCCCTGTCAAGCTGATCCTTCATGTTGTGTGGGGCATACACCACATAGATGGTGATGGGGGCCTCTGCTGTATCCAGGGCAAAGGCTGAGGTCAACCACTGCTGCTGTGATACGAGGAGCTGTAACCAGAGAAACCCCTGTGAAAGTCTGTTGGGGCTTATTCTTCTCATCAAAAACTTCTTGAGCACTGTGAGAGAAGGTGTAGCCCTCAATGACACACTGGTCCTGCTGCTTCATGTGTGTTTCTGTCAAAGCCAACCAATCTAACTTATGCTTCTTCATCAAATAGACAATTGAGTGCATCTTGCCAGCCTCGAGCAGACCTGTTGTATTCCACACTCCTCCTGTTACAGGCTTGGCTGCTGGCACTTGCATGTCATGCTTGGCTCTGCCACTGTGAGCTGGTTGCTGTATGTGTGTCTTGAACCAATGTGCTCTGGTGCGCTGCCCCGCTCTGCATGTCATGCTTCTGCTGCCACCTGTCTCTGCTGTTGCGTGAGGATTGGGTGGAGCTGTGGTCCTTTGGGTCTGGACTACTTGGACTGCTCAATTGACATGTGGAACTATCATGGTTGCGGTGGTCTGTGGTGGGGTCTGGTGATGTGAGCCTGTGACTGTGAACTGGGAGCATGGGTTGTTGAATCCTCAAGTGATTGGGTGTCCTGCTGTTTTATGGAATGGTACTCTTCATCTTCGAAAAGGACTGTATCTTGGATCTGAATCTTCTGCATGTAAACAAAGAAGGCAACGGTGATGTAGAGGTGGAAGTCTTCTTAGAAGATGTTCCTGTTGAATTCATGGGCTGTCTGTCTCCCTGTGAGGGAGCTTGTGGCGTGGGACCATATGAAGGCTTTGGGTTGTGGATCCTACTTGTGGAGCCCTTACCGCAAGAAGGCTGTTGGACGGGAAAATGTGAGATCCAAGTCCTGTATGCTCTTCTGGATTGCGCTCTTCTCTGAATCCTTGTGGATTGTCTGGGTTGTCTTGCATCCTGTGATCTAAGACTATGCTTGTACTGACTGCGGGCTAGTGAATGTGGATGTGAGGTGTCATGTGGTGGGTGTGGTTGGGGCACTTCGTCGCCGAAAGGCTCACTTTCAAAGTTAGTATTGCACCTGGCCTTAGAGGGACTGTGAGGGTAATTTCAAACAAACCTTCCTAAATGGCTCAGCGCGCCCAGCTCACCTGTGGGAGGTGCGCCTGCACGCATCAAACTTTTCCTGCGAGAACGCACAATCTCAGGAAGATCCACAGCATCGTCCCCTTCCTGTGAGGGGAAAAATGGCTGTGAGGAAGCCTGAATGCGCTTGCCATCTTTTCAGAGATCACCCTCATCGCAAGTGAACTTCAAGTATCGCTGGCGCTGCTGCTTCACGCACAGAGTCCACTGGCCTTCAGTGTAATCTGTGGGGGTGCCTCCGAGCGATCTTGGCCTCCTCAATCGCTTTCTCCATGGCCTCCTGTGAGTCGAAAGGCATGAAGGCCGGCCTGCGCGGCTCCTGTGCAGGGGGCGGAGACTGCTCTGCTGGAAGTCCAGCATCTTGGGCGGTGCACTTCGGAGCCGCCGCTGGTGTGAAGCTTCCACCCCTTCTTGATGTGCTCCATCAGCTCCTCGACCGAACGCATCTCCTTCAAATACTGGCGATCGGCATGATTCGCCGGAAGGAACGCGAACTGGAGCTCCCAGGGGTCCAGTTTTCGATGCCTTCCTCCTCTCCAGCATTGTATGGAGGAATGGAGCGTGTGAGGCAGCGGCTCAACCTCTCAGCAGCAGCATAGTCCTGTGAGGTGGACTTGGCAGCTGTGTCAATGGCATGCTGCTCCACCTGTGTGAGGTTGACTTGCTGCCTCAGCTGATCATACCACACCTCCTTCCAGGCTGTGAGGATGGCATCCTTGTGCTCTTCTGGCAACTGCACTGTGCAAATCCAGTCTGCTGGGTTGCCTGTGGTGGCTGTGAGGCTTTGGGACCTCCTCTGATACAAGATTCTTCCCAACCAGGCATCCTGCTGATCTGTGAGGAAGAGGGTCTTCCACTTTGGCACCAGACTCTCCTTCTGGTACTTCCTGAAGGCCTTCTGATAAGCATTCATCAGGCCATGCATGGGAGCCCCCAATCTCCTCTCAAATTGTGTAATGCCAGGAGTCATCTTGATCTGTGAGCCCTTGTAGGAGGACTTCTTCCAGCTCTTGGCTTTGGAGGAGCTGGCTGTCGCAGGCTGTGAGTCTGTGGATGCAACTCCAGGCTGTGACTCACCTTGGCTTGGCTGCGTCTTGTCCTCCTCCCAGAACCAGACTGTGAGGCGGTTGCTTGCCTCCGCACGCCATAGGTGGTAGGATGGAAACCTGTGAGAGCTTGAGCTCCCCCTGGCCATCATCCATTTGAGTGGTGGTAAGGTCCCACTCAACATGTGAGAGGCCCATCTCCCTCACGGCTTGGTTGACTGTGAGCGCTCGATCCTGCACAGTCATCCACTCTGGAAAATTGCGAAGGACCAGGGTTCTCTTTGCAACCTCGATCTGCGAAAACATGACGTCTTTTTCCACCCAAGCAGTGCGGATCTTCAGCTTCTGGACTTCGCTCTCTATGTGATCAATGCGCTGCCTGTGGACCTGGAACTGTGGGCCAAAGTGGCTGTGAAGAGCTCCAAGTGCTGGTGCCACCTTGCCTGTGAGGGCCTCTGTGATCATAGCTGCACATTCGGCTCTTGTGATGTGCGCCTCCTGTGAGCCAGATGCTTGGACCTGCCATTCCTGTGGGCGAGCAACCGGTTCCGCTGTAGCCAAAACTGATGGGCCATCACCAGTCATGAGCGCGTCATGGTTGTTCACACGCTGGCTCAGGTTCTCCACCTGCTGCGCCAACACTGAACGCTGCTGCAGGTCCTGTGCATGCTGGACTTTGAGGGACTCCATTCCAGCAGAGAGTTTGGCCAACGCTTTGGCAATGCTGTTAAGGCATCGCCTTCACCTGCCATGGCTGGAGTATCAAACTGTGAGCTGATCCTGTGAGGGAACAGCTGGCACTGTGAGCTGTTCCTCTGAGGAAACAGCACGTTCTAGAGGAGGGCTTGAGCACTCGTGAGCTTGGGGGTCCCAATAAAAAGGAGTATAGTAACATGTGGGTCTACATTAGGGTCCCCCCATTTTGGGAAACTACCATGTCTATGCTACTGTCTTCAACACTCAAGACAAATGGGCTTGAGGTCTAGGGTCTGTGCCCTTAGAGACTGAATGGTCGAAGCTCAGCCGTCGCAACAGTGTCTCGACGGCATTTTTGAAGCTCTGTGGCAGACTTCACGGGAGGTTACTTGGAGCGTCAGGGGGACTTAGTGAGTAGGTGAATAACATGGAAACCTTATGAATTATCCCTATAATTAGCTTACTTAATACGTCCCCCTCCAAGTATGCTGCTGCAACTCAAAGCCGCACCCCGTCACACAAGCCAGGTGCCTCTTCGGAAGGCAAGCATGTGGGTTATTCTCATAATTACGGGCCCCTTTTGGTTCTAGGGTATAATACAGCACCTTAACAAGACTTAGGGGTATCAAGATGGGACCCTAATTTGAGGAACTACCCATGTGTATCTAAAGACTCCCAGCCTCCAACCCGGACTCAACACTTCGACCTCAAGGGTTCAGGGTTTAAGTTTAGGGCTTAAGGTTTAGGGTTGGGGGTTTAGGGTTTAGGGCTCTTATCACGCGAATGCTTTGCGCCGAATATCTCAATCTTACTCCCTGCATTCCTCAACCCTAAACTCTCCATTTAAAGGCCTATAGTCCCCATTAAGTAGATAGAATATGGGGTATATAGGGACCTTACTATAATATACCCAAAGCCGTAGTCTATCTACTTCAGGGGGACTGTAGACTTTCATCTCCATGCTCGGTCTCCTAACCTGCTGCACTCCGCTCTAAACCTGCACCCCAGAAGATGATCCCACAGCTCTACAACCTAGACCCCTTTACTGGGTTGCGGTTAAGGAGCTTCAATTAAGTTACCAAGATGGGTATATGTAGTAGTATTCGATAAGATGTCCCCAATATTAACAGCAACCCAGTTTACGATTATTTTGGGGCACTTAGAAGGCTCATACTGGGCGATAAACACCACTGCTAACAAATTAAACGTGCCCCTCTCATTCCTTATGTCCACACCGAGAACTCTGACCTAAACCCTAAACCCTAAACCCTAAACCCTAAACCGTACCTTTCCTCAACTGGAGTCTTTAGCGACCGTGCCAGGGCAGCAGGCTCAGGTTTCGAACGTGGACTCTCCGCCTGCCATGAAAGGTAAAATGCCCCGAGCCACACGGGTTTAGGGTTTAGGGTTTAGGGTTTACGGTTTAGGGTTTAGGGTTAAGGGTTAAGGGTTTAGGGTTTCGGGTTTCGGGTTTAGAGTTTAGAGTTTAGGGTTTAGGGTTTAGGGTTTAGGGAACACCCGCTTAAACTGCTGCTTTGTAGGGAAGAGGGGAATAGATCCCTATAGCAGTCCCTATATAAACCCCAATAGTA